GGTATGGGGCATGAAAACATGACTAAGCTATCATCAAGGAGGCAGGGAAGGGGTCCGGTGGCCAGCGGGCAGGTGGATTTGCCATTAATACCCATGACCAAGATCTTGGAAGGATAAAGGGGCCCTAAAAAGGAGGGCAGGACAGAGAAGGCAGCTCCCGTGTTAACCAGGAAGGTGACCCACTACCTTCATTGTGACCCGAGGCTAGGCGAGGGTGATGGGGGTCGTCGTGTCCAGGCTCCTTCAGTCTTCAGTCCGTCCCAGCATGGCCAGCAGCGGGTCATGACCTTGAAGGGCGGCCCCTCCACACTGGGGTGCAGAGGGCCCGCCACCTTTCCAGGGGCAGTCATTCTTCCAGTGGCGCTTTGGCCTCATGCCGGGCAGGGCTTGGTTGGAGCCGGCGGCCGGGGGCACTGCTTTGCCCAGTGGCCTTCATTTCCGCATTTGAATCATTCTCCGGTGGCGTTTCTTTCATTGTACCCCCACCGCTCACAGCCCCCTTGGGGCCATGGCGGCTGCCGTCGACCTCAGGGCCACAACTAAGGCGTGTCTGCAGGTGTACCTTCTGTCGAAGGCAGGCTTGCCATTCTGACTGTGCCTGCTCCCACCGGCATTAAAATCTTACAGGCTGTGTTCACTGGATCTCAGACAGGGGTTTAAGGACCAGTAAAGACCTTAAAGGTCAGTTAGAGAGTGGGGGCATAGATTCAGACCATGCCCTCAGTCCCTGCTGCCTCCCTCAGGGGTAGAATGGGCACAGAAATAGAAGAGGAATTCCTCCCAAAGGTAACTGGCCCACCACCTGTGAATTTAAAGTGCTGGCAGTCATGGGGGCAGAGTTTCGGCGGATCGCACAGAGGAAGGCGGGTGGTTAGAACTTACAGAGGGCACTGCGTGGGGTACAGGATTCTACAGCAGGGCTGTAAGGGAAGGGGAGAGAGCAGGAGAGGCAGCCTGGGTGGGCGTGGGAGAGACACCAGAATTCTTTGATGAACTCAGAGGGGTTGGCGGAGAAAGACACCAGCTGCAGTTCAATTGAGTTTAAAAGCCGCAACCATCTGGGTAGCGTGGCCGAGCGGTCTAAGGCACTGGATTAAAAGCCGCAACCTCCCGGGGGCGGGGCAGTGGGGAGGAGGGACAGAAGGAAGGTGGAGCCTGCGGATGCGCGCACGCACATGTGTGTGTGTGTGTGTGTGTGTGTGTGTACCGACTGGGGAAGCAGGTGGGGGTGGGGGCGGGGTTGCTGTCCCGGCGACTTGAGTTTCCGGCTCCTGCAGCGGCTATGGCGGTGGTGGTGGGGGCAGAGCAGGCAGACGGACCGACCACGTGGCAGCAGCGCCATGGAGGGGTGCGGGTTGTCTTCAAGCAGTTTGAGTTTCCGGCCGCCATTGGGGGGGGGGGGCAGAAGAGGGGAGGCAGGGTTAGCAGGTAAGGGCGGAAGACGGGAGGCAGGATCAGTAGTTAATGACAGAGAAGGCATGGCTGGAGGAGGGTCTGGCAGGGAGGGAGGAGGAGAGAGGGTGTTGACGGACAGGGGCACCAAGCCAGTGGCTTTAGCCGAGGGGAATTTGCAGTGGTCTCCAGTGAAGGGGAGTGGGAGGACGCGGAGACGATGATGATGATGGCGCCGGTGCCGGCGCTGGCGCCGCCACCCACACATAGCACATGAACCCACTCCCACACACACATACCACACACACTGAGGGCTCGGTAGTGCACTGCGCGGCAGCGCAGAGAGAGCCCGGAGGGATGAGGGAGGACAGGGCGAGGAGAGACGTGGAAGGAACTTTCGGGGGAGGGACGGGGACGCAGCAGAGAGAGGGAGCACTTTTCAGTGAAAGAGAGAGAGAGACTTGGGCACATTTCCCAGTTCGCTGGCAGAAATTACTGAGATCGGTGAAGACGGTAAAGTCAGGGTTCCGTTTTCATACTGAGGCCATGCTACGTTACAGAAAAAGGACACAGGTCCGGGACAGGCCCCATGTTTAGCCAGATTGGCAAGCCGACACCCTAGAGGTGTGCTCAAGTCAGGTTTGGAATTTGGATTCCCCCTGTGCTTGATCCCCGTGGCCTGTAGCGGGGCTAAAGGCTGGCATCCCAGTGGTTTAACCCATGCTATGGACGGACGGAGGGACCGTGGGCGGGGTAGAGGCATCCCTGCTACCTTCCCAGGTCTGAAGGAGCCTTCCTGGAAAGGTCCGGAAAAGGCAATTCCTGACGCGGCCGCATTTTACGGACAGAGATGCCAGCGGGCGGGCGGCCACATGGGACCGGCACGAGTGTGGGCGGGACTCACCGCTGATGCTGCCAAACTGGGAAAAGATGCTGAGCTGAAGAGATGAGGTCCTGATGGGTCCAGAGCCACGAGGAGGGAGAGGCGGGCACCCCGAGCCGTGGAGGGACGGCCAAATGGGGTGCTCGCGCCACCCAGGTTTCAAGGCACCAAATGTTAGGTCAGGTGGCTCAGGAGGCAGCGAAGGAAATAAAGAGAGTTGATCAGAAAAGGAAGGAAGGAAGGAAAGTTTATTCTGCATCCCCGGGAGACCCACATACCCCAAGGACAGGGCACGTGGATTCACGCCAACAGGGAGGGGGGCGCTTTTTTTATACTGCGGTTGGGTGAGGGGCAGGGACATGAGCTAAGGTATTCAGCTGAGGAAGTTTCAGCTGCAGAGGGTCAACAAAGTATTCAGGAAGGAGTCAGTATCTGTTTGGGGGTCTTGGAGAAGCCAGTATCTGTGTCTGGCACGCTGATCTGTGAGAAATTCCAGGGGAGTCCATTGTCTCATCACATGTCTGCATGTATCTGATCCTGGGCTCTCTCCGACCTTACAATCACAACCAAAACAACTTAATGGACAACCAAACAGCAGGCTGGGTGGGGCAACAAGGCTGGCAGGGGGGTTAGTGATGGACAACCAAACGACTGAACAGCAGGCTGTGTGGGGCGACCAGGCTGGCAGGCAGGGCAGTTCGGGGGAGACCAGGCAGGCATGGGGTAGGAAGTTTGGGGTGACCAGGCCAGCAGTGGGGGCAGTGAAGGGCCACCAGGCCAGCAGGGGGCAAGCAGGACAGCATGGAGGGGGCAGCTAGGGGTAACCAGGCTGGCAGGGGGCAGTAAGGGGCAACCAATCTGGCAGGGGAGGCAATTAGGAGTGACCAGGTCAGCGGGGGGGGGGGGGGGGGTCAGTAAGGGGTGATCAGGCAGGCAGGCAGGCAGGTGAGCAGTAAGGAGCCAGCAGTCCTGGATTGTGAGAGGATGTCTAACTGTCCAAAACTGGCAGTCGGACATCTCCCAAGGGGTCTGGGATTGGAGAGGTGCAGCCAGGGCTGAGGGAACCCACTGCCCCCGTGCATGAATTTTGTGCACTGGCCTCTAGAGTGTGTGTGTGTGTGTGTGTGTGTGTGTGTGTGTGTGTGTGTGTGTAGATAGATAGATAGATAGATAGATAGATAGATAGATAGATAGGGATACAGATAGAGATAGAGATAGAGATAGAGATAGAGATAGAGATAGAGATAGAGATAGAGAGAGAGAGATAGAGATAGAGATAGAGATAGAGGTAGAGGTAGAGATAGAGATATATGACTTGGTACTTTCAACCCCATCCTCCCATCCTTTCGGGTTGATGGTGACTATATGTTGAAGCTGCCATTAAAATCCTTGAACTACAGGATCTGGAGAGCATCCAGGTTAGTGAACGTGTGGAGGTGCTAGAAGGGTGGCGTGCGAATAGGGGGCATGGAAGCTCCTAGTCCCTTCCCCAGTACCATGCCCTATACATCTCTTTCACCACTTTTTTTAATCCCCACCCAAGGATATGTTTTTATTGATTTGAGAGAGAGAGAGAAAGAGAAACATCAATGTGAGAATCACCTACATCAATTGGTTGATTCTTGTATGCACCCCAACTGGGGATGGAACTCACAACCTAGGTGTGTGTCCTGACTGGGATTTGAACCCTCAGTCTTTTGGTGCATGGGGTGATGCTCCAACCAACTGAGCCACCCAACCAGGGCCTGTGTCATATCTATTCTAATAAAAAGGTAGTATCCTAATTAGACCAGGAGACCATCCCAGAGACCTTCAAGATGTCCTTCCAGACAAAGCCATGGTAGCAGGGCCGAGGCAGAGGAAGTTAGGGGTGATCAAGCCAGCAGGGGAGGGCAGTTGGGGGTTATCAGGCCTGTGGGGGCGGCAGTTGGTGGCAGTTGGGGGTGATGAGGCCGGAGGAGAGGGCAGTTGGGGGCGAACAGGCCGGCAGGCAGAGTGGTTAGTGGTGATCAGGCAGGCAGGCAGGTGAGCGGTTAGGAGCCAGTGGTCCTGGATTGAGAGAGGGATGACTGACTGCTGGTTTACGCCCAATCCGCTATGGACATCCCCTGAGGTGTCCCAGATTGGAGAGGATGCTGGCCAGCTGAGGTACACACCCCACCCCCTGTGCACCGAGCCACTAGTCCTTTATAATAAACCAATGATCTAACCCATTTTCCTGGATTCTGTGAGCCCTTCTAGAAAATTATTGAACCCAAGGAAAAGTTGTGGAAATCCCTGGAAAAAAAAATTTGTGGGTAACCTGGGACCCATTATCTGGGATTGGCATGTGAAGTTGGGGCAGATTGGTGGGACAGAACCCTTAACCTGTGGGGTCTTCAATAACTCCTGTTGGTGTCAGAACTGAGTTAATCAGAGGAAACAAAGTCGGTGTCCACAGAGACTGGAAATAGCTTGGTGGGGAAATCCCACAGCTGGTCTGGACTGTGAGAGTTGTAGAGGAGAAACAGAGGTGACTTTCCCTTTTCGGGCCCCGAGGAGGCCCCAGAAGAGCCAGCCGCCCTGGGTCTGAAGGATGAATCAGGTCAGGCAGCCCTGGGGGAGGGCCAGGTGGGGCTGATTGGGTGTGGAGAGGCCCCAGGGCTGGGTCTCAAAGGACCCAAAATCCTGGGATAAAGAGTCTCGTTCTGGAAGAGTCAGGCACACAGAATGCACTCAATCAATGTGTATTTAATTAATTTTTATTTTGCTCAAAAGTTGACTTTGTTCATACTCAAAATATAAGCTGTGTGTAGCATGTTGCTTCACACATTCCCCAAGAAGGTGGAGCCTTCTCCTTCTGGCCAGGTGATTGGAAAGGATTCCTGTCAATAATACATTTTCTGGGTCTTCTTTTCGCTGGCCTACAAGAGAAGGTGGGTGTGTCAGACAGGGCCCAGAGCTGACAATGGGAGGAGGGTATGGGCAGTCAGTTTGAAGGGGCTGCCAGACCTCCAGGCCAATGGAGGGCCCAACTACCTTCTTGGATCTGAACTGTGCCTCCATCAAACCATCCCCAGCCCTCCCTCCTACCAAATGCGGCCCCCAACCCTACCCCCAGCAACCCCCAGACCTCCCCAGATGCTAATCCCAGGCTTGCTCTGACCTTAGTCAAGTAGGTGACGCCGATTCCTAGGAGTATTACTGCTGCGCCCACGGATAGCACAAGCGCACAGGACCCCGATGCCCACATTTTCAGACCACCTAGTCCCTATATGGAGGAAGAAAGGGGAAGGGTGACCTGTGACCCCAGGCTCACCCCACAGGATAGAGACAATGAGGGAACTATGGGGCTCAGGATTCCGGCTGACAGGATGGGTGGAACCAGGGGGAAGAGGAACACTCAAGATAGCCCCATCCACTGAGCTCAGTGGGAAGAATAGGTTTCAAGGCAGATGCTGGCTCTGCTCCACCCTCTGTAGTGAGCAACTGGTGGCCTCAGGATGGCCCTTGGCCCTCTGGGCGCTGCCACCTCATAGGTCATGGGGATGGCACTCTCCACCCCCTGGGCTGGAGGGAGAAAGCAAGTGGCCAGTGGAGCTGCTCACAGGGTGAGCTGGGCACACTGTAGAGCAGGGGTCGTCAAACTACGGCCCGCGGGCCACATGAGGCCCGCCAAAAATATTTATCCGGCCTACCGGGTGTTTTTGTCGCTACTGTCTGCATAGGAATTTGTTCATTGTTTCCCTTTTAAACTATAGTCCGGCCCTCCAACGGTCTGAGGGACAGTGAACTGGCCTCCTGTTTAAAAAGTTTGAGGGTCTTTCAGGCTCTGGGGGATGTGGCCCTTCTGACACCCCAGCAGGTGATGGAGGCTGAGGGGTCCCTGTGTAACCGGATAACCAGTGGGTCTGTGCTGCCTGTCACTCCCTGAGCCAATTTAGCAGAGCGCTTATTCCAATATTCCTGGCAGTGCTGGTGAGCAGCAGGTCATCCCCAAACATCTGCTCTGCACCTCACCATAAGCCCGCTGCTTATATTGGGTAGAAGGACAAAGATTGCATGGGGAAGTAGGCAAGGGTATGCCAAATGGGCAGTTTGCAGGTAATACAGGCTGGAGATTTGCAAAGGCCTGAGCATCTGCAAAGGCAGGGGGTCTTCAAAGGGCTGGTGATATGGGAAGGGCTCCAGGCTCTGGTTTCTACAACTAGGTTGTTAGTCTCTCCATGATAATAGGCAGCTCCCTGGTGGGGGAGGATGGGCTGCATTTCCAGGTGATCTCCCAGCCAGGTCAGAATGGGCCTTATTTCATCAGAACAAAACAATCACGGTTAACAGAGCATGATTAATGTTTCTTACAATTTCAGTTGGTCCCCAATATTCTAGTTCTGCCCCTATCACCTGGGTCCTCTGAGAACTGGCCTGTCGCTTGAGATACCCCATTCCATGATACTGGGGTCTTAGCCCAGGGGGAAGCAGTGGGCCCCTTATAGGCCCTTAGTTGTCCTGGGTGCACCCTGTCAGTGGGGGAAATGACCAGAGTCCTGTTTTTATCCCAGTAACTGGTGGCTGGGCATGGCCAGGCCTGGCTGAATCTTACCATACAGAGGACCAATGAGTGATGTTTTCCTTCCGCCATCTTCTCAAGGAATCAGAGCTCACACCTGTGGGGAGAACATCCAAGTCACCTTCCCACACACTCCAATTCCCCTAGAACCTCTGGGATCTGCTGCTCCAAGGCGGAAGCCTGTCCAACCTCACAGATCCAGCCCTGAGGGGATCACCTGGACAACAAGAGACCTGAGGGTTAATGGCCCTGGACCAGGCCCATTCTCTGGGGGTGGAGGGATGGGGGGTTATCTGTGGAGTCCTAGGTCCAAGCTTTCCCTTGGGCTCAGGAGTCTCCTCTGCAGGCCTGGGGGAGAGCTCACCTATCCCCCACCCTCCATTGCCTTTGAGCTCCCCAGCCTGGGTGGGGCTTCCTGTTGTAGGAGACATGCCTCTATGATTTATTCATTTTCATAGAAAAGAAACAGCATGTAGCCAGTCAGTTACTGAATTTCCTCAGAGCAAACAGGATGTGGTAGGGGAGGTGTGGAGAGATTATTAGAGCTGTGCAGCTAGCTGGTAGCACAATTTCCAGGAAGATTCTGTAGACAAAGGGAGGTGGAGACAAGTAGAAAATGCCTCAGCCAATAAAAAAACAAACAAACAAACAACCAATAGGACACAATTCGACCTAGGTGATTTAAAGGAGAGTATGTAAACTCCATATACTCAGCCAAAGAACTGGAGGAGGGACTTTCTCACAAGAGGATAAATATTGCCTGTGCCAGCTAATTCAGGTGAGCCTGCACCAACGGACACCTGCTCTCGAGAAAGTTTTAAAAGTCTCCTTTCGCCAGACTCTGTGTCTGAGTCTGTTATTTGAATTCAGACAGATGAGCCTTTCCCACCCTGTCTCCTCACCCACCGTGGGAAACTGTTTTTTGAGGGAGCCCCTGTGGCCACCAGCCCAGGCTTTGCCCCACCTCCTGCCCATCCTCTGCAGCCCCTCCAGCTGTGCCCCACCCACACCTTGAAAACCCAGACTTGGCTCCTGGGGCCCTGGGCCCCTCTCCTCTGTTCCCGGGGTCTATGGGGATACTCACCAGCAGCCCCTCCCCCTTCCCTGTCCACCAGGCTATTTCCTTTGGCTGCTCAGAATTCCTGACACCCCTCCTCCCCCAACTCACTGCTCCCAGCAGGACCCATGGATAAGAACCTGCCCTGGGACACATCTGGGGAGGACCTGAGGGGGTGGCCATCTGACAGGTGGTAGTGGGGTGAGGGTGACCCCACTGGGTGCAGAGAAAGGAACAGCTGGGGTTCCTTGACCCACTGACACTCCCTGCCCAGCTCCCCCCACACATTCTAAGGCCAGGGTGTCAGGTAACCCTGGCTCTCACCCTTTGTCCTCAGTTGCCCCTTCTGAAGGCAGATCTGCTTCCTGCCTGCAAATCATTTCCCTGCTGTATCTAGGGCCCCCTTGGCTGAGGACCCCATTCCCTGAGGCTGAGCCTGCCGCCCTGTTCCAGATAACGAACCCCCTGTTGGACTCTCACATCTTGGTGAGGCAGCTCTCCTACCCTGGACCCCCTGCCCGTCCCCCTGCTCTTACCTTGAGAAAGAGACCAACCTCTCGCCTCCTGCTCTGGCTGGTCTGACCCAGAAACAGACTTGGGACTTTGCTTTCCGCTCTTCCCGGTGTGTATCCAGTGGTTTCCCTGAAATCATGTGACTTTTTTTCTGAGGTGATTATGGTTCAGTTGTTTTGTTTCTCTTTCACTTGTTCTGAAGAAAAAGCAGTTAACACATAGCTTTTTGGGAGTCAACTAAGGACAACTAAGGGCAAGGGTCAAAGGGAGAAAATCAATGCCTGGGCAGGCTTGCCTCATGGCTCCTAGAGGAGAAATATAGCTGAAGCCCCAGACAGTAGGGGCAGTGCCAGGGGGTGGTGGGGACTGAGGCCAAAGATTCCATAATTCGGAGTCATTTGAAGAGGACCCCGAGCCTGTTATGTAATCAGAGCCCCAGGTCCAGTCCCTGCCCCACAGACTGCAGCCCCCATCCTGAACTCAGAATCCCCGGAGCCAACATTTTTAGCGAAGGCCCTTCCCCTGGAAGCTCACAGTGGTAGAAATGCTCTCAGCAATGTCGCAGGAATCAGGCAAACACTGGAAACTGGATCAGCAAGGCCAATTTACCCCTGCACAGAAGGGTGCTCTGCCAGCTGGAAATCAAGGGCAAAGCACACCGAAAGGGAGGTCTGATGGGGTTTTATTTCCTGATGTGGGGTCTGACCTGCCCCTCAGTCTGAACTCTGACTTTATTGGTCAGGGCTCAGAGCTCGGCTTCCCATTATTGCAGGATTGGCTAATTCAGAGGAAGGGGAGGGGTAAGACAGAGCCCAAGATGGTAGCCCCCAGGGAGCTGCAAGTCATGCGGGCCAAAGTGGCAGCTGTCTAAATGGTTCTTTAACCGATGTTAATGAAAAAAACAACAACATTGAAACCTGTAAAAAATTTTGTGAGTTTATTTGAGCCAAACTGTTGACAATTGCCGGAAGCAGAACCTCAATGAATTGAGGTAATGCTCCAGAGTGGCAAGGTTACTTTTATTAAATTTCTTATCTAATTTGGATGTCTTTCTTTTTTTTTTCTTTTAAATTAAATCTTGATTGTTCAGATTACTAGAGTTGTTCCTCTTTTTTCCCCCATAACTTCTCTCCACCCAGTTCCCACCCCACCCTCTGCCCTTACCACCACCCCCCGTCCTCATCCATAGGTGTATGATTTTTCTCCAGTCTCTTCCTGCACTCCCCACACCCCTTTTACCCTGAGAATTGTCAGTCCACTCCCTTTCTATGCCCCTGGTTCTATTATATTCACCAGTTTATTCTGTTCATCAAATTATTTATTCACTTGTTTTTTAGATTCACTTATTGATAGATATGTTTTTGTTATTCATAATTTGTATCTTTACCTTTTTCTTCTTCTTCCTCTTCTTAAAAGATACCTTTCAGCATTTCATCTAATACTGGTTTGGTGGTGATGAACTCCTTTAGCTTTTTCTTATCTGTGAAGCTCTTTATCTGACCTTCAATTCTGAATGATAGCTTTGCTGGATAAAGTAATCTTGGTTGTAGGTTCTTGGCATTCATCACTTTGAATATTTCTTGCCACTCCCTTCTGGCCTGCATGGTTTCTGTTGAGAAATCAGCTGACAGTCCTATGGGTACTCCCTCGTAGGTAACTGACTGTTTTTCTCTTGCTGCTTTTAAGATTCTCTCTTTGTCTTCTGCTCTTGGTATTTTAATTATGATGTGTCTTGGTGTGGTCCTCTTTGGATTCCTTTTGTTTGGGGTTCTCTGCACTTCCTGGACTTGTAAGTCTATTTCTTTCACGAGGTAGGGGAAGTTTTCTGTCATTATTTCTTCAAATAGGTTTTCAATATCTTGCCCTCTCTTTTCTTCTGGCCCCCCTATAATTCTGATGTTGGTACGCTTGAAGTTGTCCCAGAGGCTCCTTACACTATCTTCATATTTTTGGATTCTTTTTTCTTTTTGTTTTTCCAGTTGGTTGTTTTTTGCTTCTTCGTATTTCAAATCTTTGACTTGATTCTTGGGATCCTCTAGTCTGCTGTTGGATCTCTCTGCACTTTACTTTCACACCTCCTCTGAGTCTCAGTGTGCTTTTCTCTTTCCTTCTAGTTGCAGAATTTCCACTCAGCCAGCCTTTCTGTGGTTCTGGATGATGTCCATTTTGTCTTTTAGTTGTATTTTTGAAGTGGTTGTGCGAGGCAGCAATTTTCGGTGTTTACCTATGCCACCATCTTCGTTTCCCCTCCCGAGGTTACATTTGTATTTATACATTGCAATTGAAGGAGGGACGTAGGTGGATTACATGAAATTCATTGGTGATAGAGTAAGGAGGAGGGATAAAGCAAAGCAGGGGAAACGCCTGGGATTGGATAAAAAGTAAAATGATGGACACATTCTTAGGTGGGTGCAGGAACAATTAACATGATAATGAAGGAATTTGTGGTATCTGTCCTGGCACCCAGCACATTAGGTTGTGCCCCAAGGGATCCAGAAAAAGGGAAGTTACAAGTTACAAGATATTTCAAGAGTATGTTATTATAGATGCAAAAAGACAGATAGTCTCAGTTAAGGTAAAGGTTGACCTTGTCAGTGAAGATACTGGCTTAGGATGTACAATTGCTTTTAGTTCAAGTTTGATTTCAGCCGAAAATGGTTTGGCTCAGTGGATAGAGCGTCAGCCTGCGGACTGAAAGGTCCAGGTTCGATTCCGGTCAAGGGCATGTACCTTCGTTGCGGGCACATCCCCAGTAGGAGATGTGCAGGAGGCAGCTGATCAATGTTTCTCTCTCATCGATGTTTCTAACTCTCTCTCTCCCTTCCTCTCTGTAAAAAATCAATAAAATAGCCAAAACCGGTTTGGCTCAGTGGATAGAGTGTCGGCCTGCGGACTGAAGGGTCCCAGGTTCGATTCCGGTCAAGGGCATGTACCTGGGTTGTGGGCACATCCCCGGTGGGGAATGTGCAGGAGGCGGCTGGTCGATGTTTCTCTCCCATCGATGTTTCTGACTCTCTATCCCTCTCCCTTCCTCTCTGTAAAAAATCAATAAAATATATTTTTTTTAAAAAGTTTAATTTCAGACCATCCTTTGTGGTTACTTTAGGTCTCTGAGTTTGCAAGACTGCCATGCAGGCCTTCCCTGAGCTTGTCAGGTTAGCATGCGACTCCTTCCATCCACAAATGTTTCTGTTGCACCTTTGAAACTCGAATATCAAACTGGGCAGGATGCAAAGGTGGTTACCTGGGTTCTTGTCTAGGTGGATTCGAAGAATGAAGCCATGGACAGAAGGTTGTATAGGAAAATGTGGAAATTTATTCATAAACAAGCACAGACTCCCATGTGGGGAAGGGGAGAGAGTCCCACTAAGTCCCTTTCTCTAAGGTTTATTAAGGCTGCAGTTGTTTGTGTACTGATATCCCCCCTGATTGGTCTATAGCAGCTTCAGAGCTCAATCCCCATGTGAGTTCCCCTCTTCTCTCCCTTGTGTTTTTCTATTCCCTTTGGCCTCCTCTTCCTTCTCTGAGTGAGTGGCTTCCTTCCCTCTACTCTGTAAATGCACACCTCCTGGCTGCTCCCTTATTCTGTGAATGAACACCTTTGGGCAGCTCCCAACTTTGCAGCCTTGTGGTTCTCCCCATGGAACCGCTAATTCCTAAAACTTCCTAAACCTGCCTATTTTACCCCTAAAAACTGCTTTCACCTTCAGCCTGCATGGTGCTCTGTGGCCCCTCCAGTGAGCAGCTCCCACTGTGCCTCTGGGGGGTTCTGCAGTGCGGGGCTGAAGGGTCTGGCCAGTTGAGGGGAATGCCACTTCATATTTTATAATTTTTAAGTGATGGGATTTTGACTCATTGGTCTTTTACTTTTCAGCAGGTCCCCTGCCCCCAAGTATCCTAATATATAAAAAGCCAGGGGCCATCACGACCAAAACAACTGGAGGAACAACTGAACAGCAGGCTGGGTGGGGAAACAAGGTTGGCAGCGTGTTAGTAAGGGGCAACCAAATGACTGAACAGCAGGCTGTGTGGGGTGACCAGGCCATCAGGGAGGCAGTTGGGGGTGACCAGGCCACCAAGGAGGCAGTTGGGGGCAAACAGGCTGGCAGGCAGAGGCAGTTAGGGGTGATCAGGTTGGCAGGCGGGGCAGTTAGGGGTGATCAGGCAGGCAGGCAGGTGAGCCGTTAGAAGTAGCAGTCCCAGAGAACCAAGATGGCGACATAAGGTACAAACCTATACGTGCTGCCCCCACAACAACATTAAAACCACAACTATATGGGAGAAACCAAGATGGTGGCATAGGTAAACACCGGAAATTGCTGCCTCTGACAACAACTTCAAAAATACAACGAAAAGACAAAACAGACATCATCCAGAACTACAGGAAGGCTGGCTGAGTGGAAATTCTACAACTAGAAGGAAAGAGAAAAGCACATTGAGACTCAGAGGAGCTGCGGAAGTAAAGTGCAGAGGTACGGAGGCTCGAGCACTCGGAAAGGGGCTGGCACCTGAGGATGTGGCTGTCTTTTTGAATCGGGAGGGAGTCACAAGCTCCCGACTGCTCTGAACTCCACTTCCAGGAAGTCTCTGGGGACCCAGGACTCATACGGGGAGAAACTGGACTGTCTGGCAGCAGGCAGAATTCAGAACTTGAGGGCGCCTTTCCCTCAGAGGCGCTTGCAGCGATTACCAGGACACTGAGATTCAGGGCCCCTGAGGGCAAGGCTGAGGATCAGCCATAGCTGCTTGCTCTGCCCTGTTGATTCCTTGAGACCCCGCCCCACCCAGGCTGGGGCAGAGGCTTTTGCATATGAATGCCCTGGCCCTTTGCAATCTGAAAATTACCTAACAAATTGCAGCTGGGTCAGACAGACCCAGAACTTCCAAGAGAAGGCTCAAGGCCCCCCAGCAGCTTGCATTGCTTCACAGTTGGGCCTCATCCGGGCACCTCCAAACCCCCAAAAAAGGAAGGGGAATCTGAAGATCTCCTCAGACCCATGTGATACACTCAGGGGGCAGACTCAGTGAGCACCAAAGCCCCACTGAAGCAAGTCTTTCCCAAGAAGGGTGTCTTCAGCACAGAAGTTCTCCCACTGCAGACACAGCTGATTCTCACAGCCAATTGGCCTGGAGGTCAATTCCTCCCAGTGATACCTACAACAATCAAGGCTTAACTATAACAACACTGTGCACAAAGCCCACAAGGAGGTGCACCAAGAGTGTCCACCTCAGGTAATTGGGGAGGCTGAGCCACTGGGCCCTATAGGACACCTAGCACACAAAGCCACTCTACCAACACAGGGAAGCATAAAAAATGCGGAGACAAAGAAACAGGTCACAAATGACAGAAATAGAGGAAAGCAAATGACTGGATATAGAGTTCAAACCACGGTTATAAGGTTTTTCAAGAATTTTCTGGGAACCGCTGATAAATTTAGTGAGACCCTGGAGGATATGAAAAAAGACCAACTAGAAATTAAGCATACACTGACTGAAATAAAGAATAATATACAGAGATCCAACAGCAGACAGGAGAATCCCAAGAATCAAGTCAAAGATTTGAAATACGAAGAAGCAAAAAATACCCAACCGGAAAAGCAAAAACCAAAAAGAATCCAAAAATATGAAGATAGTGTAAGGAGCCTCTGGGACAACTTCAAACGTACCA